TGTAACATACCAACATTCCAGCATAGGGCCAAGGTACAAACACAAATAACAGTATGTTTGCCTCTCACTCAGGGCCCACATTGTCAATCATATATAGGAATGAACACTTGCCTGGACCAGCATAACAATGACTGCAGCCACATCTCCCTTCATGGATGAACCAGCGGAAGTGAAGATCATGGCAGTGTAGGAGATGACTGCGTTGATTCCACAAAACTGCTGGAACATCATGATGCCCAGGGAGATGGACAGAGGCTTGTAGAATCCCGGCTTCTTCACGTCTGACAACTGGAACGTGGCTGACTGCGCTCTTTGCACGGAATCCTCGATCTCTTTCAGCTCTCGCTGGCAGTCATGGCTGGACCCCCTGAGCCAAGTCAGTGTCTCCAGGGCCTCTTGTCTGTCGTTGGACTGCTTCTGCGACTTGATGTACCTTTCAACAGAGGACGTGCAAATAATGTACGCCATTTACTTGAGAACCCCGCGCCCTGGAGTAAGGCGCGCAAAGGGGTTTTTCAGTTCAAAATTTGGCTAAAATTGTATCCCTGAGTAAGACGTGCACCCCATTTTTAGCGACTCTACAACCACAAAATTTCGAAAGTAAAAACAAAAAATTTGACTTTTGATGTGAATTGAACATGAATCTGATCAATTTTCAAATTTTTCAGTAAAAAAAAAATTTTCTTGGTACATTTGTCACTAATTTCTCCATTATAATCAAGTATAATTAACACACAACTTCCTAAAACTTCTTGAAAATTTTGTACCCTCTTACGACACGCACCCTTTTTTTCTTCTGAAATTTGAGAGAAAAGGTGCGCCTGTGGTACTCCAGTAAATAAGGTATATAGTTGACCCAGTATAACTCAAGCCTCCCAATTTCATAATTATTTTCATGTCTGTGCATTTCCCTTTGTGCTAGCTTTTCTGCTTTTTTTACTTGCTTTTTCAATGTGCATCCCAGAAGAAGATGGCAACCAGATAAAACAAATGTATTCTTAGGACAGATGGGGTTTGGCAGTTTATTCTCACCAATTGTGTCATTGAGATGGGATCAAACACATCTCAATGACACACTTGGGTTTTCCTTTTTTGGAAGAGAATAATAAAACTACTGGTACAATTGCTGAGGTTAATCAAAACACAATTCAACCTCATTCACTCAAACATCCTCAAGTTGAAAACTTCCCTATGTTGAATGTTTTTTTCAAGTTCCTGAATGAATTCCCTGAAAAAAATGTATCAAGAAAATTCCTAAATCAAATCCCGCCCTCCCCCACACAAGCCTCCATGAATCAAATGTTCTGGAGGTCTTTTACTATAATTTGATTGGCACAGGAGAGAGAAAAGGGATGAAAATGTAACAATGTGTGCTTGGAGGCGGTGAAATACTAATTGGGCAGAGAAACCCTTGCCACCACATTCAGCATCCTTTCAACTCATTTATGAGGCAATTCAAGGCCCAGCATTTCCCCAACTACAATTTCCAGTAATTCTGCAACCTTCCCTGCAACAAAAATGCTCATTTCTCCAACTACACTTTTTGCTGGTCCTTTTAAATTCAACTGGAAAAAGGTTGGCTGTACTGTACAAACATGAGTGACATGCACAATGCTTTTTTTTATTAATGAATTGACCAGCTCTGCATAAACAAGGAGAGATCTGCATGTGTAATACTGTAGGTGCCTGGAGAAATCTAGGAGACTAATGCTGCTAAACTCCCTGCATTTAAGAAAGGAAGGATTTGTATCATTTTGTTGCAACAGTATCAACCCCACTTCAGCACGGTTTAATTGATTCAATGAAACATTTTTTCAAAGAAAGATTATTTTGGAATTATATGTTTTGAATTTGGACAGGGGATCCGTGCTGTACAATAAGTAATATATAAAAATTTTGCATAACGCAACTTTTCACATTTGCCTCAGAACACTTCCCTTGCAGGACAAATGTGTTCTGCCAGAAACAATTTTCCAGGCAAAAAAGTCATTCAATTCAGAAAGTGATCACTTTGAAGTTTTCCCAAGGCACTATTCATACTAGAAGTCCCAAACAGCCTGGCATCATTCCGGTACTTTCCATTTTTATTTATTTTTTGTATCTTGAAAAATTGTATCATGCTAGGAGTTTTTTCATCTCTCAAATGTGTGAACTTTTTTCTTGGAAGAATTCAAACATTTTACAGTCATAACCAATTATTTAAGCTAGTTGCAATGAAGCCCTTTTTGACCAGTAAAATATTTTTCGCTGTAACAAAGCCATTGCTATAAAGGAAATTGTTGACATTGGACAGGGACTTAGTTAAAGACAACAATAAAGTATTCATCCTTGATTACGTAGCTGCATGTAAGGGAAAGAATCAATCAGAATATTATTGCAACAAAATCTACAGTGAATACCTTATGTTGTCAACATGTATTAATAATTGCAGACCACTGATATATATATATATATATATATATACACCACCGCCCTCAACAATAAATCACCCTCTCCTCCCAACCACAAACTTCTGCGCCCATCTCACCTGATGATGGAGTCGGTGGGTGACTCACGGGCCACAAACAACATGGCGACGATGGTCGCCACGGGAAGAATGCCGCAGAAGGCCCCGATCCAGCGCCACGGGGTCCAGATGCCCACGATGTCCACGGCGAGGACCCCGAGGGTGACCAGGAGCTGGAAACAGGAGCCCAACATTCCGCGGATGCTGGGCTCCGAAATCTCCGCCATGTAAGTGGGTGCTGTGACGCAAATGGTGCCGGTGGCGAATCCGTTGAGGAAGCGTCCAACGTACATCATCACCACGTGGACGGACCTGATGAGGATGAAACGAAATTGTTTCCAAAAATTAGATTTTTGTTTGATTAAAAAAAATGCTCCCATTTTAGCGGAACTGATGACGGAATGTAGTACAGGATGTTTATAAACAGTATACAGTGATCACGAGAGTTCCTGAATGAAGGCAGACGACCCACGTACAAAAGGAATCCAAGTAGCATATACAATATTCTGAAGGAGGAAAATGTGGCTGAGAAGAAAATTGTTCCAGAAATGAGATTTTGCTTGGTCAAAAATGCGTTACATAAAATTCAAAAATATTACAGTGAACATTACAAGAACAATTTAATTTAGCCCCTGTACTA